CCAGAAGCGGCTTAGTCATGCTGGCCACATGACCTGGAAGCTGTACGCCGGCTCCCTCGGCCAGTAAAGCGAGATGAGCGCCGTAACCCTAGAGTCGGCCACGACTGGACCTAACAGTCAGGGGTCCCTTTACCTTTAATGCTGGTGGACAACAAAAGAGGTTCAAAGACTCTCTCAGGGCAAATCTAAAAAAATGTAGTATAAACACTGACAACTGGGAAACACTGGCCTGCGAGCGCTCCAATTGGAGAACAGCCTTTACCAAAGGTGTCATGGGCTTTGAAGACACTTGAACTCAGGATGAAAGGAAGAAACGTGCTAAGAGGAAGGCACGCTTGGCAAACCCTCACCATGATCAACTCCCACCTGGAAACCTATGTCCCCAATGTGGAAGTACGTGTGGATCTAGAATTGGCCTCCACAGTCACTTACAGACTCCCTGTTAAGACCGTGATCATGAAAGACAATCATACTTGGCTACGAGGGATTGCCAAAGAAGATCTGCTTTGCATGTGGAAGACCTCAGGTTCAACCCTGAGCATATCCAGGTTCAGCTGGAAGAGAACCCTGTCTGGAGAACTGCTGCTCATCAACGTAGACAACACAGAACTCCTTGAACCAATGGTCTGTCTCAGTACAAGGCAGCTTCCCTGTGTTATACAAATACTAAACTTAATTATCCTGTTGGAGAAGGTGCTGTGTGGAACTTCAAGCCGTGCGAGACTATTGAAGGAAGACCTTTCTTTCCATTTCCAAATTCCATATATCATTGGAGAGAAGCTGACAGTCAGACATTATGCCATTCCTGAAAACCAGGAACTTGAAGCAATTTTTACTGAATTCTTGCAACGATGAAACAAATAGCCCTGCTTGTGTTATAGAGCAGATAAATCACACCCAAATGAGAGCTGTAATTCCCAAAAGTACACAAGGAATTGATTTTGCTACGACAGTCAGCATGATGAACTGGTACCGCAGTGTACAGGCATGTCTTAAGATGCAGTTGGTTAGAGAATACCTTCCCTTTGTCTGCTTTGGCCTATCTGCAGTGATCTAGTCCTAGGGTGCAGAATAATGAAATTTAATCCCAGCAATTGCTCATCCCAATCCCAATTACATACATGACGCAGGTATATCAAAATCCTGCATGTCAAAGCATGGAACTGCAGAGTGGGAAAGGAAGAAAGATAATCTAATGCTAGGGTGCAGAAACCTTTTCAGCCAAGGGCAACTTTATCTTCTGGGCAAACTTCCAGGGGCCAGATACCAGTAGTGGGTGAGGCCAAAGACAAAAGTGGAAAAGGAACTGAATTTGTTTTTTTATCTTTGTACATACTCTCTCACACATCCATCTGCATCTTCCATTGAGGCAAGCAAGAGTTGTCACCAGAGTTCAAGGGGACATTCCAGCCAGGCAAAACCACTCGTGGGGTGATGCAGGGCCAGTTTGGGGTGTGACCTGGGGAGATGGAGTGTGGGGTGTAGAGAGCACCAAAGGCCAGACAAAGAGGACTGGAGGGCTGCATTCAGCTCCTGGGCCTGAAGTTCTGCACCTCTGAGCTATTCCAGAGCCAGTCCACCACCAAACTACTTCAGAACAAACTAATCAACCACAAGCAAAGGGCAGGAGCAGGAATACACTTTGTAATAAAATATTTTACTATTTTACCTAAATCACACACACCTATTAAGTAGTATATAAACAAACACACTCACAAACACTCCAATTCCACCACAACCAGACTTTGCTTAGGCTTAAAAATAAATAAATCATAATTTAAATTAGAAAAGCAATACAGCAAATTCCAAATGTGAATTCAAATTTTGCCTGATGTGTATTTCCCCCCAACATTAGCTTCAAATTGCACCATAGCCCTCATTTCAGCCTCTTCCACTTCTATAGCATGCATGCAGTTCTACAATCAAGCGTTCTCTCTATTTCCAAAGTTCAGTTGTGAGTGTGGATCCTTATGAACCCCAAATGGCACTTATCGACACACAAGAGGGAGAGATCAGCAGGCTTGGGGAACCCCAAGTTTTGCAGAAGTACAGCAAAACTTTAGGAGCAAACCCTAAAGGGAGGAACAACCCTTCCAAATATAGTGCAGTGGGGACCGAACACGCTCACTGGGGCACATAATGCTGACATTTGTTTGTGGGTGGGATGAAAAACTGGATGAGAGAAGGAATATCATGGAGAACACTGGAAGAGTGAAGCCTTCTGCACTGCCGCGTTTTGTTGCAGGTCCCACTTTGTTCCACAATTGACCTATTCTTGTTCTGCAGAGGAGTTCACAGGGCAGGACTGGTCAGTTATGACAGGACCAAGGAGAGCTCCTAATGAGCAACTGCTGCAGCAAGGGTTGGACGTGAACTAAGACCATTAGAGCCTCTGCCTCCAGGCCACCTTTCCTAGGCTATGCCCCCTTTTTGGAGAACTCTTAAAAACTTCCTGACATGAAGACAGGCACTTACCTTGTATTTTGTGACCTCTGGTCTGGTGCACTCCTTGTACCATTGGGCTAGCAAGTAATTCAGGAGGCACTTAGTACCTCAGACCCAGGGAAAGATGCCCACAAGCAGTTGTGGTTGTGGTTCTACAGGCAGTGGTGCCATAGGAGCTGATTCAGAGGACTCCTTGCCTTTGGCCTCTGATTCAGGGGCCCCCTGAGGCTCAGATCCAGGAACCCAGACTTGCTCCTCTGATGGTAAGACTGTAGCCTCCAACTCAGTGTCCTGGTCACCACTGAACTTGGGGTCATGGAAATTATTTGCACATTCTGAAAATCCATTTTGCCAACATCAGGCTATGAACAGAGCTCTCCATTTGGCAACTGTTAAGGGAACGTGTCTACAAACAAGAGCAAAGTGTTAACCCCACAACAGTCAGAAGGACCACAGCTCAGCAGCAGACCATCTGCCTTGCATGCAGAAGTCCCTTTACTTGATTCCTGGTGTCTTCAGGTAGAGCTGAGAAAACCTCCAGCCTGAAACTGGTGAATGGCTGCTAATAGTTGAGCTAGATTGGCCAATGGTCTGACACTATAAGGCAGCTTCTCGTGGTCCTGCGGACCATGACAGTGCACTCAGCACCACTGGGGCGTGTGGTTGTTTGGAACAATGGGAAATAGCAGTTTAAAAGATGTGGGGGTCAGCTGGAGGAATTTCACAAAAACTTCCTCTTCCCCCTGCAAACCCTCTTTTGAGCTAAAACAGCGAGCAAGCTTTCAGCTCAGCTCTGAAAAAGTACTGATTCTTGGAGTGCAGACTCCAGAGGGTGGCCTTCCTTCCTGCTTCCCCTTTGCCAGAAGGGAAATGGCCTCCTAAATGAAACCTCCCACTGACATGGAAATAAGTAAAATAAAAGCATCAATCTCAAGGGAAAGGGCAGCCCGCTTAGGAGTTCCTTTCCAAGGAGGGCCTGTGACCGGCCTCCCCTTTTCTCTTTGCTCCAGCTCAGAGAAAATCCCCTTAGTTATTTCAATTACATGGATGACTGGCGAGAGTTTGAACACAAGGAGTAGAGTCGGCAGTCCTTGATTGAAGTTTTTCTCCCTAGCACCATTTGAATTGGCATCATTGACCTTCAAAGGGGGGGAACCGCTAATGCAGGGGTTAACCTCCATGCCACTCATTCGGGCCTGTCGTTAGCACTTAAGCCCATGGCAGGTGTTTCTGTTTGTAACCTAGGAGGCCTGATACCTCTTTGGTACTGTGAGTCCCCCTACCTTCTCTCTCCCTCCTCACCCCCATTCCAGCCACAACACATGATGACAAGCTGCAAGGATGTGCAGGGAACGCAGTGGATGTAGCCTACCTTGATTTCAGCAAGGCATTTGACAAGGTGCCCCATGATATTCTTGTAAAGAAGCTGGTCAAATGCGGTCTTGACTATGCTACCACTCAGTGGATTTGTAACTGGCTGACTGACCGAACCCAAAGGGTGCTCATCAATGGTTCCTCTTCATCCTGGAGAAGAGTGACTAGTGGGGTGCCACAGGGTTCTGTCTTGGGCCCGGTCTTATTCAACATCTTTATCAACGACTTGGATGATGGACTCAAGGGCATCCTGATCAAATTTGCAGATGACACCAAACTGGGAGGGGTGGCTAACACCCCAGAGGACAGGATCACACTTCAAAATGACCTTGACAGATTAGAGAACTGGGCCAAAACAAACAAGATGAATTTTAACAGGGAGAAATGTAAAGTATTGCACTTGGGCAAAAAAAATGAGAGGCACAAATACAAGATGGGTGACACCTGGCTTGAGAGCAGTACATGTGAAAAGGATCTAGGAGTCTTGGTTGACCACAAACTTGACATGAGTCAACAGTGTGACGCGGCAGCTAAAAAAAGCCAATGCAATTCTAGGCTGCATCAATAGGAGTATAGCATCTAGATCAAGGGAAGTAATAGTGCCACTGTATTCTGCTCTGGTCAGACCTCACCTGGAGTACTGTGTCCAGTTCTGGGCACCACAGTTCAAGAAAGACACTGACAAACTGGAACGTGTCCAGAGGAGGGCAACCAAAATGGTCAAAGGCCTGGAAACGATGCCTTATGAGGAACGGCTAAGGGAGCTGGGCATGTTTAGCCTGGAGAAGAGGAGGTTAAGGGGTGATATGATAGCCATGTTCAAATATATAAAAGGATGTCACATAGAGGAGGGAGAAAGGTTGTTTTCTGCTGCTCCAGAGAAGCGGACACGGAGCAATTGGATCCAAACTACAAGAAAGAAGATTCCACCTAAACATTAGGAAGAACTTCCTGACAGTAAGAGCTGTTTGACAGTGGAATTTGCTGCCAAGGAGTGTGGTGGAGTCTCCTTCTTTGGAGGTCTTTAAGCAGAGGCTTGACAACCATATGTCAGGAGTGCTCTGATGGTGTTTCCTGCTTGGCAGGGGGTTGGACTCGATGGCCCTTGTGGTCTCTTCCAACTCTATGATTCTATGATTCCTTGGCACTGGGTAGATGGCCGTGCGCATGATAAAAGGAAAGGCCATCACTCAGTGGTAGAGCATCTGCCTTGTATGCAGAAATTACCAGTTCAATTCCTGGCATCTCCAGTTAGGGCTGGGAAAGACTCCTGCCTCAAACCCTGAAGAGCCCCGTCAGTCAGTATAGACGACAGGGATCAATGGTGTCAATTGGTATGAGGCAGTTTCCTATGTTTGAGCTAGGTTAACTGTTCCTAATGTATCTCTGCTCACTGGAAGGACAGATCGTGAAGCTGAGGCTCCAATACTTCGGCCACCTCATGAGAAGAGAAGACTCCCTGGAAAAGACCCTGATGTTGGGAAAGATGGAGGGCACAAGGAGAAGGCGACAACAGAGGACGAGATGGTGGGACAGTGTTCTCGAAGCTACAAACATGAGTCTGACCAAACTGCGGGAGGCAGTGGAAGACAGGAGTGCCTGGCGTGCTCTGGTCCATGGGGTCACGAAGAGTCGGACACGACTAAATGACTAAACAACAATGTATCTCTGGTCTTGTCAGGACTGAATGTGTTGGTGACCTGTTTTGCAACAACACACAATCATTTATTTTTTTTAAAGCTGCAAGTCTGCTCTGGGTTTTGAAGAATAGAGGAGTTGAGTTAGTGAGGGCATTGGTGCCCGCCAGCTAAGGCTATGCTTCTGCTGAAAACTCACAAAATGGTTTCCTCTCCACTGAGCCTGGCTCTGGAAATAATTATTCATTTGCATAGCCCATGGCAAACATAATTCCCTAATAGCTGAAATACCATTTCATTTCTATGCAGAACTGAGTACACAATAACTGCTGCCTATTGTCAGAACCAAATCCCATCATCAATACTATGTTTTCATGATAGATGAGAGATATATTCTATATTGTAGCCACAGTGGCTTTGAAAATAAAGAAGGTCAAATCCCAACCCTGGTGTAGAAAACCTGGATTTAAAATGTCTTGATAATTATTTTAATGGAGCAGCATCAGCTTCAGGTCAATGGATCATAGAATTGTAGAGCTGGAAAGAACCCCAAGGGTCATCTAGTCCAACCCCCTGCAATGAAGGAATCTTTCACCCAATGTGGGGCTTGAACTCACAACCCTGAGATTAAGAGTCTCATGCTCTACCAACTGAGCTATCCTGACTGCAGGTGCTTGTGAGATTCTCTTTACACATTGGCCACAAGTCTTCCAAAATACAAAGTGATCTGCTTGTGCTTTGGAGATAATCTAGAGGAACAAAATATATTTAAATTAGTTTTTCAGCAGATTTTTCATAGGGAAGAGGGAGCCAGAAGTTCTATGTAGCTTTTATTGAGGTATGACTGGCAACATCAGGATTGTCTGGGAATCTAATTTAAATTGGAGATTAGGGTTGTTTTTTAAAAAAGTGATCTAACAATTAAACTGGATTAAGAGTGGAACTCTAAATAGAATGGGTGCTCAGTTCTTTAAAGAGTACAGTAATGAAGCAAGTCCTGTTTTATCTTATCTATCACCCATCTTTCTGGCTAACAGGCTCCACAGCAAGGCCCTCTAGCTGAGACTAATCTATGATGGTTGACTATTCCAGATGAGGCCAGAGATGGAGACTTACAACATCTGGGAGACAATAGGTTTCTCAGCTCTGTTCTTCAAGGAGAAGGCTAACATCAAAACAATGCTAAAAGCAGCCATGAAACCAAACTATAGATTCCAAACAATCCACCATGGGCGTAGCCAGGATTTTTCTTGGGGGCGGGGCAGGCCTTTTGTTAGAGGAGGCAGAGCCTCAGTTTGCTATGTATTTTATTGATTGGGGGGGGCAGTTGCCCCTCCCTGCCTCCCCTGGCTACTCCCATGCAATCCACTGAACTTAATGAATTAACCAGCAGTCAACAAAGGCAAACAAGTAGTCAGCAGAAATTTAGCAAAAAATAAAAATAAAAATTTTGAAATAACAGTGAAGAAAACCACCTCAAATTTAGGAAATCTTTCTCCTAATTTCTCTGAAGTAAAATATCTGTACTGAAATCCCAGCAAGAATGGGTTAGAGCAAACTTTCCCTGGGAGGTAAGGTGCTGTTGCACTGAAATTCTACTTGCAAGCTTCCCAAAGCAACTCGTTGGCCACTGGGAGAACAGAATGATGAACTAGATGAGCCTTTTTTTGGTCTGATCCATCCGGATGCTTCTTACATTCTTCTGCTCCAAAGCCTTGGTGTCACTGTGGAAAAGGCCTCATCCTTGGTGACTGCAAGATGTTTGAAGGTCTCTTAAACTGCATCCAAGGAATGACCTCACCAAGTGCCAGTCTTCCCACAGAGTGTGAGCAGAGCGACTTGCCAGCAAAGTAAGCTCCACTGTTTTCACAGAGCGACTGTATTACTGATTTTGATTTGTCCCAATAACACAGATTGTTCCACAGGTACAATGCTAATCTGACTTGGTATCCTGTCACTGAGAGGAGTCAAGATTCTGGGATGGTTGCTACTTACACATTGCCAAAAATGAAGAAATGCTTTACCAACATTTAGAAAAAAAAGATATGACAAAGAGTTGCATAAAAATTGTATATATTAATTTATGTGCATATTTACTCATTCATTGTGTTCCTGTTTTTATCTATGGTATCTAGAATATTTTTTTAAATTGTATTTTATTGAGTTTTGTACAATCTGAATGGTACAATAAAGAGAACATATTGTCAAAATATGCATGATGAAGAAGGACTGTTGAGTAGAATTGCTGTTTCTCATCATTCATTCACTTTGAGCTTCGAGAAGGAGCTATACAGCAAATGTGTGCTTGACCTTATGGTGTAAAACAGTCTGAATATAAAATGAGAGTTACCTCTTTTTATAAATGTAATTTCTATTTTTCGTGTTGGCTTGCATGGATATGAAACACCATTCTTCCTGAAATGAATGGTGCTGTACATAACTGCAATGTGCTCATATTGTGATGGGGGTGGGGGAGGTTGATTGCTTACTAGATACAAGATACAAAATCATTTGCAGTCAAAGGAGACTATAGATATTTTGTTGTAGTGACTGAGTTAGATGTAGAACAGGGACCAGCAAACTTTTTCAGCAGGGGGCCGGGCCACTGTCCCTCAGAACTTGTGGGGGGCCGGACTGTTTTGAAACAAAAAAAATGAACGAATTGCTATGCCCCACAAATAACCCGGAGATGCATTTTAAATACAGTGGTACCTCGGGTTAAGAACTTAATTCATTCCAGAGGTCTGTTCTTCACCTGAAACTGTTCTTAACCTGAGGTACCACTTTAGCTAATGGGGCCTCCCACTGCTGCCGTGCTGCTGCCACATGATTTCTGTTCTCATCCTGAAGCAAAGTTCTTAACCCGTGGTACTATTTCTGGGTTAGCAGAGTCTGTAACCTGAAGCGTCTGTAACCTGAAGCATCTGTAACCCGAAGTACCACTGTAAAAGCACACATTCTGCTCGTGTAAAAACAACAGGCAGGCCCCACAAATAACCCAGAGATGCATTTTATATAAAAGCACACATTCCACTCATGTAAAAACATGCTGATTCCTGGACCGTCCGTGGGCCGGACTGAGAAGGCAATTGGGCCGCATCCGGCCCCCGGGCCTTAGTTTGCCTACCCATGATGTAGAACTTCCATTCTCTCTCTTCCCCCTTGTGTGTGGGGTTGCACAATGTTTAATGAGAAAAGGTGCTTGCTTTAAGGGTTTCTGAGGAGGAATATAGAGAAGTGGGGGAAGTGACAACATGTCTACACCTAAAAGTGTGTGGGCAACATCTTGTGCTCTATCAGAAGTATGGCTGGAGAGACCTGGGTTCAAGATAACAAGCAGCAACAAGTCCCAGGATATCTAGAAGGACACAGCAGTGGGTTGCATATGCTCCAAGTGTTCCTATATATCTGAGACAGTTCCTATTTCCCCCTTGTAAGCCTCTTCTAAATTTCTCAGTATTCTGCCATTGTGGGATGTGTTATTAAAGAGTTGCAAGTATTGTGTCATTGCTCAGGATTCGGTTTCCTTCTCAGGGTCTCTAGAATCACATTTCTTGAGTGGTGGTGGATGCATCTGGTCTCCGGCGTACATGTATGATGACTAATGTACCATGCAGTGTGCAGCTGCCATATAACATGCTACAGCTGGTGAGGTTTTATTTTGAACAGTGGCTAATGGGTCGCAGGACAATGAATCACATAGTTCTCATCTTTCACTCAAAAACACATACCAGCCTGGGTTTTCAAACAGTGCTGGGCAAGCTATTGCAGAGTTAAAATCAGGCTACAAAGGAACAGTAAATGTGTGGGGTTTTTTGTATCTGCATGTATTTTAAAAAGGAGCTATGTGGGACCCTCACCTGGAAAGGGGCCACATTGTGGGTGGGGAGGGTTGAACGGCTTCCCACTGCATGTGTGGTCTCTATTACGCCCTCTCCCCCAAACCAACAGCTTTGCTCATGGAACAAAAAAAACAGGTGGGAGGGGATTTCCATCAGGACTTCACCATGGGGGAAAAAACAGGCTGCAGTGCCCTGTAGAGTTCCTAGTGTGCATGAAAGTAAACACAGGCCTGGAACAACTCACAGGATGCCTCTAGCAATACAGAAGGGCTCAGGTGTTTCATAAGGCAATGAAGGACCAGGACAATGTCAGGCATCTTTGCTGGTCCCATGTACCCCATCTTCGCCTACTGGATTTGGGCCTGTTGAAGAATCAGCCTTAGCTTTCAGTTTTGTGGCTTTGTGGAGCTCGTGGCAACATGCAATGGCCTTATCTCTGATCTTAAAATGCCAAGTTTTCTGATAACAAGTTTTCTGATAACTGGATCAGTTAATCCTGCCAAACAATTTTAATGTGGGACACACTCACCCATCTGAATTCCAGGGTTGTGTGAGAAAGGCCCCTCCCCACCCAGTTTCTCTGCACTGTGGATGGTTGCCAAAAGTGTTTATCATGTCATCACCCCTTAATGCTGCAAGATATAATCAGTAGTTAACCAACAGTACAAAAGAAAGTCACACCTTTTAACTGGTGGAGATGTGAGTTGTGGACATGTTTATTTTCGTCCTGGTGCATTACCAAAGAAGAAAAAGCTGATGGTCCATAAGGGC